ATAAATAAAATAAAATAAAATAAAATAAAATAAAATAAAATAAAATAAAATAAAAATGGAATACACCTTACATATCATGCTGGGTGGAGGACAGAAGGTGAAAGCTATGAAGTTAAAAAACTTGTTTAACTGAAGTGATTCTGTTATTCGGGAAAATCACATTCAGATCTCCTGTTGCTAACTACAGCATCTGGTAGCAGTCTTGGAATACTGATACATTTCAAGATAGACCATTTTTTATTAACTATACCATTTGAAAGGTCAACGTGTTCTTGTGATGTCTCCTATGCAAAGATTTTATTGCACCCCAAAGTAGTTTCCAAGTTTTTTCATTTCAAGCCCCATTCTAAATCTTTCAATTTTCCACAGCATACCTGACATGAAGACAAGCAAAGAGAGTGAGTTCCACAGCCATTGGTAAAAACTGGTACTGAAGAATGAGCAATTATTTGTGGAGATGGTAGGAAGATTATACCTCAGAAGAGAGTACATGAAGATACAATAATTTAGTGAAATTAAAAGAGAATAACATTATTAGAAACAAACCTTAGCAAAATAACTTGCCTCTTTGACAGGACTTAAGTTAGAAGTCAAAGATTATATATGCCCTAGGAAAGCCCCAAGTGTGATTCTGATATGGGAGGGCATTAAATGAGACAGAAGCAAATAATGTCGGTTATAATGATAGATCAACTAGAAAATACTGATCTAAAAACTATTTTTAAATTCTAAGTTTTAGATTAAATCCTTTAATACTGTCATCATTGTGAAAAATCAAAGTCTTCAACAATGATCACTATATTTTGACAAATCTACTGAAGAGTAAAAAACTTTATAATTTAAGAATATTAACCAATCTCGCCTATACCCCCTAATGAGATAATCACTTTCCCCTCATTTTCATTACATAATAAAATGAGAAAACTCTCTCTCTCTCTTTCTCTCTCTCTCTCTCTCTCTCTCTCACACACACACACACACACACACACACACACACACACAGGAAATGTACTTTTAATTGAAGTGTGAACTCAAGTCTTAAATTCCATGCACATAAATGTTATGCAATAATAGGAACTTATTTCCCTCTTCCTTCAAATACCACCTTTCCTCAAAATATGCTTCTGTATAAGATTTCTCCCTGTTGGAGCTGCCACTCTGTTCCACATTGTTACATGCAAATCTAGCAATGAAGAAAATTATTAAACTTATCCAGAAGAATGTCAAAAAAGAATACTGATCATGATGGAAGTACAAAGTATAAGTCTGATTTGCAATAGATGTAAAAATATTTGTGTTAAAAACACATTAAAACAGACTTTGTTTAGACAAATTGTTTTACATCCTTATATCCCAAAAATCTGATTATACAATTATACCCCCAAAATAACCACGACCTGCCTATGTAGGAGAAAATGGAAGGTATCTTACTTTTTCACATCACTATAATGACATGCCAGATCATGTCACATGAGAACACAGTAATTTCTAAAATAAAGTAAGAGTAATACTATAAAATGATTATTATGGTAGGGAGGAAAAAAGAGTGGAAATATTCAGATATAAAGGTCTACTCAAAAGTGAAATCTATGAAAAACAAATATGGATGAATCGGTATGTTTTGAGATTGATCACGATTACAGACGATTCGGGTGGCACTATCATTTACTTCCAAACCTGTAAGAGAAGACTGCTCTGAAGAGCTCCTTAGTTTAAAAAAAACAGGTAGGGTGGGAGCAGCAGCAGCTTTACTACAACTGTTTTAACAACTCTTATTTATATTTAAAGGTAAGAAAAACTGAACATGCTCAACAGTTATAGTAACCCATAAGAACCAATTTCAGAGGTGCCTGGGTAGCTCAGTCGGGTAAGCGTCCAACTTTGGTCAGGTCACGATCTCACAGCTTGTGGGTTTAAGCCCTGCATGGGGCTCTGTGCTGACAGCTCAGAGCCTGGAGCCTGCTTTGGATTCTCTTTCTCCATCTTTCTCTGCCCCTTCCCAGCTCGTGCTCGCTCTCTCTCGCTCTCTCTCTCTCAAAAATAAATAAACTTTAAAAAAAAATTTTTAAAAAAAGAGCCAATTTCAAAAACCTTATAGGCACTAAGTGGGCTACCCACGGGCATAGTATGCCAGTGAATTATGTATGACAGAGTCATGTAAAAAGTTTTGTATTACTATTACTAATCTATGTCGTTACAAAACAGGTTTAGGTTTTCAATGAAGATTCTCACTAATTTTCATGCAAATACTTCACATAGTAATTTAACCTCATATACATTGTTTAGAAATGGAAAAATAGGACTAAAGTCAATCATCGTTAGGTTTGAAAATGGCAGTTCAGATTTCTTAGTACTGTGCTTTACACTTATGTTTCTCAAAGTGGAACACTTTTAAATATAGAGGGTAACTAACGAAGGTTAATATTTATTGGGCACAGTATCACACAATGTGATGATTTCCTGGCGTATACTGTCTCATTTAATCCTTAATAACCTTAAAAATTAAGGACTATAACGATCCCCATCATAACTGAAGAGGCATAAATAATTTACCCAAGTGGCAGAGAGTAGATTTGAACCCAGAGCCTAGAACCAAGGTAATGGGGAAAAGAGGGAAAGTGACTGAGAGAGAGCACAGAAACATGAACTCCAGTGCAGAAAGGCATACTGCTTACTGGGGGCATGTAGTCCCTCCTCATACTCAGGATGAGAGGTTTTCAACTCTGCCTGTACATTAGAATCACCTGTAGGACTTTCTAAACCAACATCCAGGCCTGGGACCTCACTCAGATACTAGGCCTTCAACTGGCCTGGCCCTGGGGAAAACACAGCTTTTCTTGTGTTGTTCTTTTGTTTGTTTAATTTCCGCAGGTAATTTTATTTTTTTAAAAAAATTTTTTTTTCAACGTTTATTTTTTATTTTTGGGACAGAGAGAGACAGAGCATGAACGGGGGAGGGGCAGAGAGAGAGAGGGGGAGACAGATTCGGAAACAGGCTCCAGGCTCTGAGCCATCAGCCCAGAGCCCGACGCGGGGCTCGAACTCCCAGACCGCGAGATCGTGACCTGGCTGAAGTCGGACGCTTAACCGACTGCGCCACCCAGGCGCCCCCCGCAGGTAATTTTAATGGGCAGTGAGATTGAAAACCACTAATAATCATTTCCCACCCCATTAACCTCTCTGAGTAGCCAACTACAATCAAATTTACTAATCACCTACTTAGTTCTGAGCACTTTACCTATTATATTTTCTATTTACCCAACAAAGTGCTTAGTTTTTCTTTTCCTTAAACAGAGGAAACATTATAACTCTAGCAGCGCCTTTTTAAATAGAAAAAAATTGCCTGCTTTTCTTTAACAAGAGGAATTTAGGGGGGAAAGGCAGGGAGATAGCATCAAAGAGTTTGAAAAAAAAATCCCTTCTTTATGCACACATACACTCATTAGGTTTAAAACAATGTAAAAAGAAAATAAATAAATGTATGTATGTATGTATGTATGTATGTATGTATGTGAACAGGTCCTGAGTATCAAACTAAAAAATTAAATGGCAGGCTATGAGACTAAAAAAAGTTCTGTAATACATGTTAAAGAAAGATTTAATATCCATGAAACTTCTTAATTCTGCTGGAGATGACAGTTAAAATACTAAGTAACTGTTATTGTGGTGATAAATCCCATTGTCTTCCCATGGCACTGTGACAATGATTATGCAGTGTTTTTACCCTATTAAGTCACCTGAATATAGACTAACAGGTGCTAAAGAAATCAAAGCATTACATAAGCACACCCAAACAACAATATGGCTGGTCATATCACGTAGTGAGAAATACAAGGATTTTGCTGAAAATCTTCTATAAGGAGTCTTACCTTTTCACTAAAAGTTATTCACTGCACATCCCACTCACCCCACACCAAAAACGCAACGAAAACTGTTCCAGACAGTCTTGGATCTGCTGGCCCTTTTATTTTACTAGAAGGGTGTAGTGGGGAGATTTCTGACAAGCATACAAGTTTGATCTAGGATTTGAACAAGAGATCTAAAATGAAGAATATAAATACTTCAAGTTGTACACAACTCTGGACTTCTCAGACAAACATTACAAAACTTCCTGCTTCCGGACAGCTCATTATTTGGTTCAAGTCTTCACATTCCTTTATTAGTCATGACCTTTTTACAAAGCTCTCATTCCTTATTGTTTGAATAACATCGGACTTTTAAATGTTGCAAATCAGACTTACAGGAAGGAACCCTTATCAAATGAAGAAGCCATCCCAGAGTTCATGCCCAAAGGAGGCTCTGATTACAGAGAGAACTCAGTAACCCCAGCAGAGTGTGTCCAGCACGTAGATTTCTTTTTAAAAACTGGTAGTAAACATATATCGTTCTGCAGATCTTAAATTTAGGTTCATCCACACATTTTTATCATACACAATTACAGGAGCCTGCATTTCCGCAGAAATTGACTCTGCAAGAAACTGGGAAGACCTGTGAGTGTGTGTGAAAGGCACAGACACAACGGTGAACCACTCATTACCAATTGTCACTGGGGTCTCACATGGCCCAGATCTGGCCTCTGAGCCATATGTCACTAGGCTCAAAGGCACAGATGAGAGGAGAGAACCACAGGGTAACTGGAAGAGAAAACAAGGGGGAGGAACCTCATAAATACGTGTACTTCCACCCCGAAGCTGAAGAGGTGGCCCAAAGGGCAGACTCCAGAAAAACCTTCGCTCCTGGGATCCGTCACATCGCCCAGGCCTGTAGGGCCTGCTAAAGGGGGCGTGTGGGGGAGGAAGGGCAGTGTCTGTGCCCCCTCCGGAGATCGAAACAAACGAAATTAAAGCAAGTTCTCACTTCCTGGTCGCCTACTCTTCCCGAAGGCCCCGACACAAGACGGACACCGGGGAAAGAGGGCTCCCGAGGAGTAAAGGGGGGGGCCCGCCCCCACCCCAGCCCTGCACCTTCCCGTCCTCGCCCTCCCCTCCTCCGGGCCTTACACGGTGACGTGACCGGAGCCGCGGACCACCACTGGGTCCGGCGAGTATTTGAGCAGCTGCTCCTCCAGGGCCCGCTCCTCGTCCTCCTCCTCCTCATAGATCTCGTCGAAATCCGCCATCCTGAGCCTCCGAGGCCCCCTGCCCAAAGGGGCCTGACTCCAGGGGCCGGCGCCGCGGCCGGGAAACGGGCAGGCGAGGCGGCGGAGGCTGAGGGGAGTCGCTGCCTCGGGCTCAGAGGCCGCGGAGTTCGCTCTTGGCTGCCTCGGCTCCGGCTACAGAGATGGGGTCCCGGCCGTCGCCACCGCCGCCGCCGCCATTACCATCAGCAATAACAACAACACAATGTCAACATCCGCCCAAGGGCCGACACCTCCACCAGTGCCGCCGCCGCCGCCGCAGCAGCAACTCAGGCAACCACAGCAACAGCCAGAGCCACCCGCAGCGGGAGCAGCCGGCTACGGCATCGCGAGACTTCCCGGGAGTGCGGTCGGGCGCGTGGACGCGCGGGCGCGCGCGAACGTGTGGCCTCGCGCGCTCCCAGGGCGCCTTCCTTCCTTCCTCCGCTCCCACCCGCCGACGACGCTTCGGCAGCGCGCCCCCGCCGGCGCGGTCCCGCCCTCCAGCAAGTGAGTCCTGCAAAGGGCGGCTCCGAGGGCCCGGGGCGTTGATCCCGCCTGGAGGAATGGAGCCCGGAGTGTCTGTCCAATGGAGCACTTAATCTCTACCCCAAACTACTACCCCAAAGTAACCTCTACCCCAAAGTACTCTACCCCAGAGTACCCAAAGTTACTCTACCCCAAACTACTAAAAACAAAAACCCCGGTTGGAATACAAAATTTATAGTGCATGTTTGCCAGTTTATCTAATAGCTGAATCTCGCTTTTTGTCAGTGTTTTTAGTCTTGATGGAAGCCAGAGTCTGCACTTTCCCAATTTGAGGAGCCCAACAGAAACATTGCAAATGTTTTTGCCCACTTTGATAAAAGAATTTTCAAAACATGTCCAAACTGAAACATCATGTCCCATCATCCCCTTAAATACAGGCCAATGATGCTATTTTTTTCTTACAAGAGAACTCACTGTAGTCATGACATGAAGCAAAAAAAATGCCACATTCTCTGGGTTCCAGTTTGAAAGATGCAGTTTCCCTGCCCCAACTCCCTCATCAACCATAACCTGTTTTCTTCCCTTAAGACCTACGGAATCCCTTTCCCTTCCTTACAGCCCCTTCTAGAATGGAAAGGGTAGAGGAGGGAGAGGAGGGGAGGGGAGGAAGAGTTTAATGGATTCTGCTTACCTGCCTAGACCACTAATGAAGGCCTAAGGGTCACTCTGGGTGCTTAGTTTCATAGTCAAGAACCTGTCCGGCCATACAAAAAGTTCAGGGGCAGGAGTGGACTCCTGAGGGAGTCCTAGATAATGAGTATATACCACAAAGACAGGAGAGAACAGTCATACTGGATCCAGGGCTGGTGTCAGACTATTCTGCAAGTACAGTGTTCACATTCTGACATTTCCCTTTAGATGGGTCATTGTTGAACTTGAGAAAAATGCGAAGGAGGGCAATAAGGACAGCAAGAAATACCAAACATTTTCTTACTGGAAATGGTTGAAGGAAATGAGCATAGGTAGCCAAGAAAAGATAAAGGAAAACCGTAGTAGTTGTATCAGACTTGCTGTATATCTCCCCAGAGGGCATTTATTCATTTACTAATTCAACAAATATATACTGAGCTCTATGTGTCAGGCATTGTGTGCGCGTGTGTGTGTGTGTGAATGAAATACAGTCCCTGCCTTCTAGTAGTTTATTTATCACTAACGTAAGCAATTATAATTGTGTCAAGTGCTCCCAGAGGAGTATACAGAGGGTACTAATGAAGCACACAGAAGGCAGCTTAGTTTGGTGGTTAGCAGTGGGCTGTGAAGCGTGACTGCCTGCCTTTGAATCTCAGCTCTGTCACTTACTATGTGACCCTGAACAGGTCACTTAACCTCTCTGTTCCTCATGTGTCAAATAAGAATAATAGTACCCACCCCCCACCCCCACAATGGCCTCCTCCGCAGATGCATGAAATGCCTAGAAGAAGGTCTGGCACACAGCAAATAAGGGCTGTCTAAGGCCCCATCCCACTAATCAGCTCTATGAGGATCAGCACAATTGCTCGCATTATGTAATGCTTTACTGTTTATAAAGCACATACATATCATTGAATATTCCCCCAAGACTCCTATGAGGTAACCAAGGAGGATGTAATTTAGTCCTTCATCTCGGAGACGCTATGTGACTTCCTCATGGCCAAATAGCTATGTAATAGTCAAACCCACGGCTTCAACCTCAGTGCACTGGGTAGGCCAAGCTCCTGAGTTTCCTTCTTAGCAGGAACCAAGAGGCCAGTGGCTGCCCTCCGTTGAAGGAGCCGCTGCAAATGGGAGGGTGAAAAAAGGGAACAAGAGGAAGCAAGGTCAGCGTGTTCTAAGCGTGGCTCACACCCAGCGTGCCGTGACTGAGAATTCACCTTTCTGTGGACACAGTGGCCGAGATAAGGGGCTGGGGCCCCAAAGTATCTAAACCATCACATAGCTGGAAACTTCCCAAGGGCAGAGGAAGTCACCCACAGCAACTCACAGCTCAGCCACAGCTCCTGCTTCAGAAAAGGAGCTGGATAAATGTTCTCTGAATGGACACATATTGCTACTAGTGCTAGTTCCAGAACAGCACGAGTTAACTAGGCTTCTGAGGACTGTGTGAATGTCACCCTTTATCTTAACACTGGTTCTGTGTGGGAGAAATGTTCTTAGTCTAAGATGTATTCAACAGAGAGATCTTTGTATCTCCCGCTGCCTCGGTGTAAGGTGGCGGGCTGTTTTATTTTTGTTCTTCCTATTTTGCTCTTCTTTTTCCTGCTCTGAAAAAAACCTGTCAGAGCTAGCAAAGGGGTGTGGGACCTGGGAACGAGGCGGAGAGGATGAGAGAAGAGGAGTCCAAAGTTTCCCTGATGATCGATGACATCACAATCCCAAACTCCACCCCCCAACCTTCCAGGGCCCAGTTTCCTGTCAAACTTCTTCCCCAGTTTCTCCCCGGGAACAAACTCCCCTTCTCAATATCTTTTCCCTCAGTGTTCAGTGTTCTCCAGCTCTCTACTGTACAGACTCCTCTCCATTTGGCTCCCCTTTATATTCCTACCTCACACGCTGTCACGTTTACCTTCAGACTAAATGGCTCAAAACCAAATGAGATAATGCCTCAGAGGCCTCCTGAGGCAACAGACGGACATTCAGTTGCTTTTAAGGCAGATATTCCTAGATTTGAAAACTTACCAGTTCTATCACTACCTAGCCAGTGGCTTTGGGCAGATTCAACTTCCTAAGCCTCCTTTTCTTCATTCTGAAATGGAACTCATGCCATTGAGGTTGTCAAAGATCAAATGAGGTAATGCTGTGGACTGAATTGTATCCCCCCACCTAAAATTTATATGTAGGAATCCTAACCCTCCAATGTGATGGTATTGGGGAAGTCAGGCCTCTGGAGGTAATTAGGTTTAGGTGAGGTCCCGAGAGTAGGTCCTTAAGATTTAGTGCCTTTGTAAGAAGAGACCAAAGAGCTTGCTCTCCCCACCAATCTCCCCTTGGTGTGAGGACACAGAAAAAAAGATTGCCACTGGCCTCACAGGAAGCTATCGCTCACCAGGAGCCAAATAAGCCAGCCCTTTGATCTTGGACTTCCAGTCTCCAGAACTGTGAGAAATAATCTTCGGTTGTTGAAGCCACCCAGCCTGTGGTATTTTGTCATGACAGCCCGAACTGACTATGACAGCATGTCAACCCTCCCTTTTTCACTCATTTATTCATTAAATAAATATGCATTGACTTATTCCCATGTGCCATATTCTGTGTCAGGAACGAGGGCTTAGCAATAAGATATTAAAACACAATCCATGCCTCCATGTAGCATAAAATACATTGGGGCACGAGGGAGGGCTGACGAGTAATTTCAAAAATGATTAACTATTAGAATTGTAGTCAGTCCTGTGGAGAAGTTCAGGGACCATGAGAACAGTTAATGGTTGTAACTCAACTCTGAGAAATCAGCAAAAGTATAAGGATGGGAAACAGAACAGAAGAGAAAGTTCCAGGTAGTGGGACAAGCATGTTCGTAGCAACAGAGGCTGCTATAATGGAGTACTATAGACATATAAAAAACAGAAATTTATTTCTCCACCCTCATGACCTATTCTTCTACCAAAGACCCCACCTCCCAACACCATCACATTGGGGGTTAAGACTTCAACCTATGAATTGTGGGGAAACACAAACATTCAGTCTATAGCAATGGTTAAAGAACCTGAAGCAGAAAAGAGCATGGCCTAAATCAGGTACAAACCAAAGCCACTGTGGTTGGACCATAATAAGGAAGGCAGAGCCAAACTGAGATGGGTTCAAAGAGGTTGATAGAAATTTGAAGGCCTTGCTAAGGAGTCTGAACTTCATCCTGAAAGTAAAGGTGATACACTGAGGATGTGAAGCCAGGCAATGGGTCCAAAAAAGCCAGTGCATTTTAAAATTTTCAAGTGGGAGGGGCACCTGGATGGCTCAGTTGGTTAAGCATCCAACTTCGGCTCAGGTCATGATCTTGCAGTTCGTGGGTTCGAGTCCCACGTCTGGCTCTGTGCTGACAGCTCAGAGCCTGGAGCCTGCTTCAGATTCTGTGTCTCCCTCTCTCTCTCTCTCTCTGCCTGTTCCCTGCTCACGCTCTGTCTCTCTCTCTCAAAAATGAATAAACTTAAAAAAGATTTTTTTTAATTTTCAAGTGGGAGACCAGTAGTCCAACCTACCCAGAATACATCTCCCACTTCTTCTGAAACCAGCATATCCCCAGATGATTTGCGGTAAATCATACCTCCCCCACTCTAAGTACTTGTGATTGGGTTAAGCTGACCATATCATCAATTCCAAGAGTGGGCTCATGGCCTAAAGCTGGCAAATCAGAGGCCATGGGATACCTTGGGGCACAGTGATTGCTTTGAATGGACACATGATTCAGACAACACCAATGAGATTCAATACCAGGACTTTTAATAGAACTATGGGGAAGGAGGGAAAACTCCTTTTGTATGAAACAGGAGCTATGTCGCTCTTGCCATGGTAGAAAATGCTTAGAAATGTTGCCAACCCTGAGGAAAATAGGGTCAAGGGATGAAACAAACATGACTTTGTCTTCATGATCACGTTTGAATCTCCTGCGTTCAGCCCAGGTTTATAGGAGAGGATAGTGGATTCAGTTTGTGGAATGGGAGACACCAAATGGAGATGCCCAGTAGAACATAGATAAAGACATTAGAAAGATAGATGGATAGATGTGCGCATGGGCGAATGGATAGACAGACAATGCAGGGCAAAGGGAAGAAAGGGAAGAAAGGGAAGGAGGAGATGCAAAACAGAATTCTTGGCAGGGAATGCAGTCTCTCCTAT